CGTGCACCTTGAAGTTGAAGACGATGAAGTGATAATTGTCAGGCATGTGGCGGCACCACCAACGTGTGTGGTTTGCCTCAGGGTCATCACGGGCGTGGTACTGGAAGGACCTCAATGTAGCCACACGGTTGACTACGAGTGTCTTGTGGCGTACAACGCTCAGTATCTGCGCAATATCCGAGCCCGTGACTTGCAGTGCCCAGCGTGTTCGCAGCCGTTCCAAGTCCCCGGTGAGCTATCCTTCAGGGATGAGGAAAACAACGAAGGATCGGAAGACAACGCCTTTGAGTATGAAGAACCGGATGAGAAATTAGAAGAATCAGAAGTTACGCAAGACGATGGAGACAACAGTGTTGTCGAATATCACGCGAGTGACTTCAGCAGCTCTTCTGACAGCGATGAGGATTACGCCCCCTATAGATAGGGAGTAGGCATGAGAGGTAGTGCCTTGAAATTGAAGGTGCAAATTTGTCGTTTCAATTTGTATAGGAATTTGTAAGTATCAAAAGTACAAAAATGGACGTTAGTACAATAAAGGGCGACGGTACAATAAGGGATGACAGTACATTAATGGACGACAGTACATTAATGGACGATATTTTCATAGTACAGTAAGGGACAACAGTACAATAATGGACGGACGATAGTACAATAAAGGACGACGGTAGTAGAATGGGGGGGGGGTAAGTACAACAGAGGACGATGGTACAATAAGGGACGATAGTAAGCCGATGGTACAGTTGTGCACCTCCAATTCGGCAGGGCGGACCATATCAACAGTGCCAGGGCATAAGTGCACAGCGTAAAGCAAACCACAAACGCAAATCCAGTGCACTGATACTTGTTTTGTTAATTCAGTACAAAATTTACGTTTAGTTTCGAGACGATGCCTGTGTGGCACCAACAGTTTCTAATAGTCGTTGCAGACATGTTGTTCCAGCCTTCAGACAACCACTTCATGGCGGAGTATACGTCGACCGGCGTGTAAGGAACACCCTTACAAAACAGGTCCAGCTCCGCGGCTTGCTTCTTGTTCTCGTACTCATTCTTCAGGCACTTAATGATGCCCTGGTACATGGGCTGCAGTACGGCAGCTGTATTAGGCGGGAGCTTGCGAATATCAACATTGGATAGCTCAATAGAAGTGTCTCTGTGCGACGAAGCATTGTCAACAAGTAGTAGTACTTGCTTTTGTGCTAGAGTTAGGGACATGTAGGAGGAAGGGCGATGTCCCATTGTCTTTGGCGGTAAAAATCAAAGTGTGTGTTTGGATGAAGACGTCTGATCCAAATTTTAAAATCAGATCGATGCGGCGTGTCATCCCTCCGCGAGGAGGGGAAAACCGCTGAGGTTAATTGCCAGGGTGGTGATGGGCAAAGGTAGTTGCGCATCCGATTCGCGTAATCATAAAATCTGGCAGGGTATCGACTGATACCGGTGCCGAATTGGAGGTGCACGACTGTACAAGAAGAGACAACAGTATGGTACAGTCAGGGGCGTCAGTACAATTAAGGACGATTGCACACCGCTACTTTACTGGCTCTCCTTCGCTTACGAACTGCTGCAAGGATCTTGTTGATGGTGAGTTCCTCGCCAATGAAGGTTGCGAAGTCCTTCTCGAACTTGTCTTGGTCATCGTCGTACTGCTCGCGAATGAACTCGGTGATGATCTTCATCCTGGAGAGACGCGAGCGATGAACTTTTCGCTCATGTGAAAGCATGTCAACTCCCGCGCGATACTGGTGACAGTCCGGGTTCGCATTCCGGTACTGATGAACATAGTCTTTCCACGACTTGGCGTCCGGAAGTTCGGACACTAGTGCTGTCGTATCCGATCCTGGCTCAAGATTAGCGGCCACTGGCACTTCAATATCGTCGTCACACAACTGTTCCTGGGTTGAACGCGGTGTATCGCTAATAGTCTTGACCATTTCATGCAGCCCTTGAAGCAGTGATTCTAGCTCTCCCAACTCGGTGTTAAAGATATCAGTGTGCTCTTGTGCAGCGTCTGCTGATTCGGTCGTATGCTGAGTATCCTGCACAGGGTCGTCTGATAGCTGTGAGCCTCCAAAGTCGATATCCCGTATACATTCGAGAGTCGCGCTACTGCACGACGTCGCGTCCGGAGCCAGCGAGTCGCCCAGTTGGTTCTCTTCTCGATCCAGTACGACGTCCCATCGGGCTTAATTGTACTATCGTCCCTTATTGTACCATCGTCCTCTGTTGTACTTACCCCTCCCCATTCTACTACCGACGTCCTTTATTGTACTGTCGTCCGTCCATTATTGTACTGTTGTCCCTTACTGTACTATGAAAATATCGTCCATTAATGAACTGTCGTCCATTAATGTACTGTCATCCCTTATTGTACCGTCGCCCTTTATTGTACTAACGTCCATTTTTGTACTTTTGATACTTACAAATTCCTAAACAAATTGAAACGACAAATTTGCACCTTCAGTTTCAAGGCACTACCTCTCATGCCTACTCCCTATCTTTAGGGGGCGTAATCCTCATCGCTGTCAGAAGAGCTGCTCCAGTCACTCGCCTGATATTCGACAACACTGTTGTCTCCATCGTCTTGCGTAACTTCTGATTCTTCTATTTTCTCATCCGGTTCTTCATACTCAAAGTCGTTGTCTTCCGATCCTTCGTCGTTTTCCTCATCCCTGAAGGATAGCTCACCGGGGACTTGGAACGGCTGCGAACACGCTGGGCACTGCAAGTCACGGGCTCGGATATTGCGCAGATACTGAGCGTTGTACGCCACAAGACACTCGTAGTCAACCGTGTGGCTACATTGAGGTCCTTCCAGTACCACGCCCGTGATGACCCTGAGGCAAACCACACACGTTGGTGGTGCCGCCACATGCCTGACAATTATCACTTCATCGTCTTCAACTTCAAGGTGCACGTAGGCGCGGCAGTTACTGCAACGTGGGTCAACGGGGATTGTTCGCTTGATGCACTCATGGTGGTACGGCTGCCGACAGCTGTCTTGGTCACGCAACCATGTCTCACCATCGAGAGGATCCAGGCATTTGACGCAATCGGTAACACCGTCGCGCCCCGTAGTCTTGCTTGATTCTTGGTGACCATGTGCCTGGACGTGCTCCGCTTTCCCATTTTCCTGATAAACTTGATCATCTTGTGCACCCTGACTCGCCTGGTTGTTCGTCATTGTCTTGATGTTCTAGCTCCAAAAACCCTGGGAACGGCAACGATGTCCGAAAGCTCATCATCTCCAGTCAACAGCAGCTGATTAAGAAGATCATGTGCATAATCATCGTCATCACGAGCAACTTGATCTCGGATGTAATCATGTTGAGTCGGATTGTCCGTGTCGAAATCATCCACCTGGTCCGACCGGTCATGCCTATCATCCGACTCGAGCAGCTGGTCCAACCGATCTTGCACATCATCAGGTCCCACCAGCTGGTCTTGGGTTCCAACGGACTCCCGCTGCAGACGTCGTCGTTCTCGGTGGTATGCTGCGTCGCGTTGTCGCCTCGGTGCAGCCAGCTGGTTCCGGTGCTCGATGCGATCGGCGAGATTGCGGCACCTGCTCCCTCGCTGATGGCGCGTGACATGATGCCTGTTCCTCTTGACCCAATGCCAACACACGTCACAAAGCTGGCACGGGGGCGCAGGGATACCGCGGCAGCGTCCTTGCTGGTGCAGCCGTAGGTGGTCGACCGCCCAAAGTCGTGGTGACAATTGTCACACACGTATCCTGGCGTCGATAGGAGCTCGGAGATGTCCATTCTGCATACAAAAAAACCCAATTAAATATATTTACGTTGGACCCAAAACATACTATTTCATAAATTAAGTGTGCCTAAAAGCTCTGGTAATCTCCCACGTGCGCTCGGGGTTCCGGCCTCGCCCACCACTAGAGACAAAATAATCTCTCCGCGTTAAAATCTCATAGTGGAGAAGCCAAAATTTTTCCAAGTGCGCCCAGCTCCCGATGTCGTCCGTGCGAAATGTTTCAATGGCATCAGAAAAAGCCATGCTCTTACTCTACCGCGGCCTCTCTGAAAGGGCATGCCTGTTGTAGTTTATGAAAAATTGTGTGGCATGTGTACACAAAATTGTCTACCTCCTACCTAAAATCGCACAAGCCCAGCGAAGTCCTACTTCAGCAGAGGGCGCAAATTTCATTTCATTTCAATGTGGATTAAAAGCTGAAATGATTGTGGCGTACTAACAGTATGGATATCTTTATTATAACCCTGCAATTTCAGTTTTATTAATAAACGAAAGATAAAAATAGAGGACAGCGTAATTTCAATTATTAATACATATAATTCTTCGGGTGCAAGATGTCGCTCGTATGAGTGCATGTCGTGACCATCATTGTGATCGAGTTACAAGCGACATTGTCTTCGGATATGAAATGATTGGAGCCTAAAAGGCGCTTCGGTAACTCCGTGTAACAAAGTGCTCGTATGAACCAACGGTCGGAGCTCACGGTTGCTTTACTGATGATCCGTGTGCGAACATGTCGTTGTCGGACACGCCTTTCGCCCATTGACAGCCGATGTTATCTGCAGAGTGACCGGTTAAAAATACCGATACACCAGTCGGAATTGTTGTTGTCTGTTGCCAGGTGATGGACTCTCAAGCTAACTTAAGCGCAGCAGTCGCCCTACCAACTGTGTACTACTGAGGTCAACGCAGAGCTTTACGAAGGTCTCCCACGCTTGTTTTTCCCGCTGACAGCAGCAGTGTATTACCCGCAGTTTCGTTCAAGGCTTTGAAGCTTGTTGCGGAGCATACCGACTACGTGATCACCATCAAACCCGAGACGTGTCCTACGAGGCTGCTGTGGCTAATTCGCAGTTCACGCTTGCCACTAATACGAACCCGCTTGGTTCGCTGGTATCGGAGTAGCCTATAAAGAAATAAATGCTGTGATTTAGCTTTCAGGTCTCCGTATCGAGAGTTGTAGCCACAAAGTAGGAGAGATAAAAAACTGGATGTCACATCTCTCGGAATTATACAGTCGTCGAAGCTGCCCTCGCCCGCTTCTGCATGTACTTAGGTGGCACTCGACGTTCAAATGGTGGCAATACGAGCGCAGTAAACCACAACGCGTCCTGCCTGCCTAGTAGTCGTCCAAGAGCGTGACGTACAGACGCAAAACTAACGGAGAGTCGTATCCTCTCTCCTTCGCGCTGCATAAACTCAATCGTGCTCTGCTCCGTAAGTACCAAGTAGACGTGCCACCCCCAGTAGCAGCATATCACCACACCTACTACACTTGTAGCCATGAACGAGAACAGCACTTTAAACCGGTCCAACACCACTCTCTCTCGTGCAGCGGAAGCCTCATCCGCACTCGTCTTAAACGTCGCTACAAAGAGCCCAGCCGACTGCATCGCCACATATAAACAGCTCACCCAGATGTACAGTAGCAGCAGCCAAAAGTGGCCTACAAACACTCCCCAATTAGACGGCGTACAGTGACTTCTACAAACAACACACTTACGGTAGTTGTAGTACCCAACACAGTTGTTAATCCACGGGCAATGGTGATCCATCTCGTAGACGCATCGTCGACACTCGCGACAGTGATGTGCCCTGCGCGGCTTGATCCTCTGACAATGCCGACAGAAGCGCTGTTCTCCATCTGCAACGGCGGACTCGACCAGATGCCGCTGGTCCACGTAGCCAGGGTCAATCCAGATGGCCAGCGAGTATTGTAACAGCAGCTCCGAGGCCAGGAAGGTGCTCAGTATCAAGTGCCCCGAGCTGTTTGCTGGTAAAAACTTGGTAAAGTGGACGAATGCGATGCCCAGAATGAGTCCGTAGCCGACGACTACGAAGAGCGGGCCCAGCAGCGCTACATGAATGCTCGTCATAACCATACAGCTCTGGCAGACCTACACTTGTCGCCAAGTCGCATGTATCATGTTGCGGAGGGACACATAAAGTCACGCGGATTTTAAACGTATACTACCGGATACAGATACACGCCATCATTCCTTACTCATCCTTTAACACAGGAAAAGAAGTCAGCGCTCTTTGGCAAATCAAGTCGTTTTGCTATTATTCGGGTGCTTTTCAGCAGTCGACGATGCTTTATTCGAGGTCTGACTATACGCGATATACGCGTTACTGCTCAGCTCAAAGACCGCGCTTCCCGCCCACCCAAGTAAGACTGGACCCCCCAGCCAAAGAGCAGACGTCCAGCCAAGTCGAGGGCGAGGGGAGCGAGGACAGTGGAGACTAAAGCCGACCGCTGCGTACGATAGACGTTACCAGAGGCGCGACGCTCGCTTGGAAAACCCCAAGAAAAACTGACAGCCATCAATCAGACCGTCGCGTATACTACTAAAGGAGAAGGGCATTAATATTAAGGTGAGGAGACCAGCAAGAAGACGCACGCGATGGATGGAGAGGGACGGAGAGGGTAGAGACACGAGCTCCCAGTTTGTAACTTGCTACCGGAGCTTCGAGGTCCCTTCCTTCCCCTCTCAAGCAGAGGACACACCCTTGTATCCATTCGCTGGTCAGCCTTTGTCTGCAGAGACTTTTTTAACTTGTTAAGTTGCTAACTTGATGTATTTGTTGCTAGACGGAGGGTACCTAAGTGTCGTGACGCGCTGTTAAGTTGATGACGATGGAGTTTGCGCCTGCCAGTGCACCGTCAGGTCCAAGTAAGCGTCCATACCCGGAGAAGGACAGTGGGAATGGCCAGGCTTCAGGTCTCAATCTCTTCCGCTTTGGCAGCTCAAGTGACTTCTTCGCCCCCATGAAGTACAACGAGGAAGAGCTGACGGCAGCCTCGTCCCCCACTGGAAGTGACAATAATCGCAATGATGATGCGCCACCCAGGGTCTCTACTACCGGTACCAAGGACGCGCTGCCCCCTCGTGCTCTGTCTACGTCGAATCAAGAGTCTCACGATCGAGATGATACCACCAATGGCTCTGAGAAGACCGTGAAGGTCTCAGGCGAGAGTCCCATCGAGATCAAGGTCCGCAAGGCCCGTCCGTCCATGGAAATGCTGCCGTCCCGCAACAGTCGACGCAAAAACAGCATCGAGATGTTCCTGTCGCAGTCTCCAAGTCAAGCGCTGGGCGGAGATTTCCTTAAACTCAGTCTCGACGACCGTCAGATGGCTACCAACGCTGGGAACGGCGTATCTGCTGGTGGAAATACTGCTGGGAACGTCAATTCCTACGCTTCGGGTCAATTCCAGCTTAATGCAGTACAGGAATCCCCCAACGAGTATGGCCTCGCTGGTCGGTATCGTCAGCAGCCGCAAGCTGCTCAGCAGGAACGATTCCGTGGCGGCCGGGAGGCTCAGCAACCGCATTTGCCGACGTCGCTGTCGCTATCGCGCTCCAGCACCGTGCCAGGGACCAGTAGTGCGGCCAATGCTGCGTACAATGGAGCGTACACGTTGAGTCCGCGTATGTCGTCGGAAGACTCGTGGTCTGGTAGCCAAGATGGAGACAACAATGCGCTGTACCAAGAGCAGATGCAAGAGTACTACGGCAACAATCAAATGGCGTACGCGATGGAGCAACAACAGTATCGGCAGCAACAGTACAGGTCGCCACAGACTGCGAACGGGTCGTACGGCTATGGGAATCAACCGTCTCGAGCTCAAATGGCCTCTGGGCAATGGAATCCGATGGTTGTGGGCCCACATCCGCCTGCTGGAATGTATGACGTGGCGGGAACAACATGTATATGAACCCACGCTCGAGTCCGATGAGACACCCGCACGCGCAGATGGGATACGCTCAACAGCAGCAAGTGGCCATGGGGATGCGTGGCGGCCACCCTAATAGCCGTGCGCATGGACGCAACATGTACTCCGCATGACACCGCCGCTCCCAGAAGACGTCACCGCCACACTCGCCTCGTAAGAACATGGGTATGCAGATGGGGATGAAGCAGTGCAAGTTCTTCATGCAGGGACATTGTCGTATGGGCAGCAAGTGTAAGTTTGTGCACCAGGGAGGCGCTCCGACTCCGGAACACATGGGCCACAGCTCTAGTCGCCATAATTCCTCGATGATGTACCAGCAGAGGATGATGATGTCGCCTCCTCCGTCTCAAATGATGCAGCAGCGTCATCACGGAGACGAGCTTGGCCACGGATCGTTTGGAGGACGTCAGTCTCGGATGAACTACCGCTCGGAGAACAGTGGCAATAACGGCATGAGTCTGGGCTTGATGAACAACGGCAGCATGAGTGCGCCGATGATGGGTGGATCTGCTTCTGACCCGTCGAGTTTGAGCGCTGCGCTGAGTGTGGACGACATTCAGAACCGCGTGTTCGCGATGTCGAAGGACCAGAACGGCTGTCGCTTGCTGCAGGAGCAACTGGACTACGAAGACCGAGGCGATTTGTGCGACGTGATCTACCAGGAATCGCTCGAGCACTTGGCCGAGATGATGGTGGACCCTTTTGGGAACTATCTGTTCCAGAAGCTGCTGGAGCGTGTGAAGGAGAAGCAGCGACTTGTGATTATCCGCCGTGTGAGCTCGAATCTGGTGGCTGCGGCGCTCAACTTGCACGGCACGAGGTCGGTGCAGAAGGTGGTGGAAGTGTGCGCGACGTCTTCGAGTGTTATTGAGGAGGACTTTGACGAGGAAGAAGAGGGAGAGGAGTATGGCTACGAGGAGCGTCCGGAGGGAGGCAAAGGACGCCGCACGACGAGTCTACCGGATCTGATTGTGGAGGCGCTCAAGGACGACGCGGTGCGTCTGTGTATCGACTCGAACGGGAACCACGTGATCCAGCGCGCGCTGCAGTTTATGAAGCCCGAGTACAACCAGTTTGTGTTTGATGCGGTGTGCAAGGAGTGCACGACTGTGGGCACGCACCGCCACGGCTGCTGCGTGCTGCAGCGCTGCCTGGACGCGGCCAACAAGACGCAGAAGGCGGAGGTGATTGCGCAAGTGGAGCGCCAGGCGATGAAGCTGATGCAGGACCCGTACGGCAACTACGTGGTGCAGTACGTGTTGGACTCGTGCACGGCGGAGGAGGCCTTCGGTGTCATTATGAAGCCGCTGGGCCACATCTACGAGCTGTCGGTGCAGAAGTTCAGCTCGAATGTGATCGAAAAGTGCCTCGAGAAGGCCCCCGAGCGGGTGCGTCAAAAGTACATTGCGGAGATCACGAGCTGCCCCAAGATGAACAAGATGCTGCAGGATCAGTTCGCCAACTACGTGGTGCAGCGAGCGCTGTGCGTGTGTGCGGAGGAGCAGTGTCTGCTGCTGGTCAAGGCCATCCGTCCCCACCTCGCAGCCATGAAGAACACGTCTGGAGGGCGTCGCATCACTGCGCGGATCCTCAAGCGCTTCCCGAACATGGACATCAGTATGGACATGGGCCTGTCGCCGACGGCCGACAACTTGTTCGACAATGGCAACGCGATGATGATGAGCCACTTGCCGACGTCTGCAATGGGCGGCAACTACATGCCTCCGCAGCATCTGCAGCCCAATCCCATGTACGGAATGCAGGGCAGCCACGTGGGCTTTCAAGGAGGAAGTCGTGGCACTCGCATGCCGCCGATGCACGGCAATGACGGCAGTATGATGATGCTGAATGACGTGGGTGGCATGGGCATGAATGCCACGAGTCGTGCGTAGGAGGAAGGAAAGAGTGTACGAGCGGTGGGATGACAAATCGAAGTATGAACCAGCAGTTAAGGGGAAATGGAGCGAGTGGTGTATGAAGGACGACAAGCGAGCTAGAAGAAGAAGAAAAAGAAAACGCTGGAGACGCGCAGTGAGGTGTGGAGAGAGGACGCGTGGGTATGATGAAGAAGAAGCAGGAGAAAAGGATCCAAAAGTTTTGCGCGTTTGTAGATAAGACCGATACAAAGAGAGGATAATGCATGTTTAGGACTTGTATCAAAGCACGCGACGGAAGGTGGCCGAGTGGACGTGAAAGGCGAGAAGCGACAGTATGCTGTACCAGTAAGCCGCCGCTCTGCTGCCGGGCTACGACACATAGGCGATAAGAAGAAGAAGAAAAAATGACCACAACAATGAACGAAGAAGCTTTTGAAGGACAGACAAGGTCTTGAAGAACTACGACCCCACACGCGAGTAGTACCCCACTTTAAAATCAGAAAAAATCTGTAAGGCAGTGAGCAACGAAACCGTTGCTACGAGCTTCCGACGTTGTTTTCTTGAAGCAGATGATCAATTCCCTGCGAAAGCATACCATAGACATTGTCGTCTTCCCGATGCGAAGCGTGCTACCCCCGCTTCTCTAACTGCTACGTCGATCGAAGCTGATCACTTACTGGAGGAAAGCGGACGGCGCAGATAACTTCATCGACAACCTCGACGACATTGATCTCCAGCACACAATATTTAGCGAGCAACAGACAATAACAGTAATCCACCCTTTACTACTGTAGACCCCCCCCCTCTCTTATAGTACCCCCTTTTGGGGTGCGTTACAAAGTTAATCCCCTGCTATTAATACTTATAAATCCAGCAAATCTAACCTCGCTTTGCCAAGATCACAATAATTATCACACGTAACCCTGATTATGCTCTACTAGCTTTACATAAAACGCTTTTGGAAAGAGTAATTCTGTCCTAAGCTTTACTTTACAAGTACTGTCCTAATTTTTTAATTCTTGATTTAATTACTGCCAGCTAAGCCGCATGTTTGTGCGAAAGCGATTCAGCACCCTGAATTTGCTCAGCGATCTCGGAGGTTGGACAAGCAGCCGGACGCTTAGCTTGCGTAACGTGAACGGGTAGAATTGGCTTGCAAGCTGCACGCTAAGACCTGTTTTTTGAAATGACAGATCGCTAGCTCCCTTTTGATGCCGAACGCTTAGCTCGCTTAACATGAATGGAAACGTAACCAGGCAGACGCCGGGGGCGGTACCCAGGCCGTCATTGTTGACATGACGGAAGCGTATAATAACGGGTATTAATTGTGAATTTGAAAAGACAGATCGTCAGCCCCCGGTTGATGCTGGACGCTTAGCTCGCGTCACATGAAATTATTGGGTCTTTAATTGCAGATTCACGCATCTCTCTTTTCCTTTTCACTCCCAATACAGGATTGGCCTTCCCTCACATGTTGTATTACTCTACTGAATTGAACATTTATCTTCAAGCGCTACCAGATAATAGTCCTAATTCTTAAAAAAATATGTAGGTACAAGTACTTGTCCGTGCATTCACCTCTATAAATTGATACATAATAATTGTGCGTAACTTGTGCTGTAGGGAGAGTTAGAGCCCATCAATTCAAGGAACAAGCGCAGCATAGGTGGGCAAAAGCGTATTGCGTGCGTTAGTGGCATGCGCTTCATGTGATGTGGTTGTCGGGGTATGCGCTACATGTGTTTGTGATGAGATTAGGTTAGCGGCCTAGTGGTCTAGTGGTATGATTCTCGCTTTGGGTGCGAGAGGTCCCGGTTTCGATCACCGGCGGGGCCCGTCTTTTGCTCGGAATCCCACCCAACGCCAGGTCGGCCGTGTCCTATCGGGGTAAGGCGGCGTTGGTAACCCTTATCGATTCTATTTAGCTTAATCATTCTAATATAATCTATTTTATATTACTTCTCCGGTCCTTTAAGAAATTAAAGAGTTTTTTTTATCTAGAATAAGCTCGTGTGCTTGATTGTTTCACGCTGGAATTTTTTAATGAGAGTTCAAAAGTAGCACAGTAGTATGCGTCTATCAATTTATCAATTCATATGGCAGTAGGTGCAAAGTCCCTCACTCATCCTTTAAAACTTGTAGCGGTGAATGGACTCGAGGTGACTAACGGAGCGTGGGCTTTTGGGTCGAGTATCATCCAGTCTACCGGACTTGCAGGCATAAATCATCAATACTAAACTCAGCAGCGCCTTAAATGCCGCCAAGCAGAGAAAAAACGCCACTGTGACAAGTATTCCGCCAGGTGATGCGAGCTCAATTGGGGCCTCGACTAACGCCTTCGATACCATACGCAGCACGACACAAGCGAGCGGCAACGACATCAAACCCAAGCGCTTGGATACATGGTGCGTGTGATCCAGAATGGTATCCTCGCTCTTCCAGCCTGTTAAATCGCGACAAAGGATCGTGATAAACTTCGAGTACATCGTCGGTGGCAGCTGGTTAAACTTTGTGATGAAGGCGTGTTTTAACCAGTCAATCACCATCTCGGCCACCCAAACCATAGCCTAACAAAACGAAATGTTAGTAACAATACTGTAATGTACCTTTTAAAAAAATATCCAAGCGTACCGTTCCCCAGGCAACATCTCCCGTAGAAGATTGCAGCAGGATAAGGCCGATAATGGTGAGAAGTTTAAAGCGCTCGACGATGTCGCTGCAGCTGATCTGGAAGAGATTCTGCTCCTCGAACTTCTTGAAAACCGAGCTCTTGAGCTCCGCAAAGTTGTTCGAAATCAGCAACGTAAGCAGCGACGTGTTGCTCGAGTTAACTGCCACATTCAACGTTACAACTTGCGCAAATAACAATAGCGCATGCAGCACCACGTAGGTGATGGCTACAGCGAAGTCCAGGAACATTCGCGTCACTCGACGAGGATGATACTTTGCCGTGTAGTACAGCGAGTCCAGTACATCTTGTCCCAGCGAAGAGAACAGTCGATCGAAGATCTCAATCATCGTAAACAACACGTAGAGTTTGATCATCGCCTGGCCGCGGATCGCATGGTACACCCTCGACATATCGACGTAGCCCAGCACGGTCGTGCCCACGGCTATGATGACGGCTACCATTAAGTCGTAGAAGTGCGTTCTGCGGAATACTCGAGCATGGAAACTCGATGTCACAGCGCAGCCACAGGCGAACAGGATCCTCAAGGGCAAGTACGTGAACACGTAGAGGAAGCTGTCGAGCGCTAGCAGCACTCCGAAGAGGAATAATTGCTCGGTGTTTAGCGGAACCACAAAGAAGTTTTGCACACGTTCTTGATGCACGCCGTCGCTCTGTTTAATGTCGTGAACGCCAAAGATCTCCTTGTAGAAAAAGTCCGACAGTCGGAAAGGATGAGGCGCGGGCGGCATCGCTGGAATTGCAGCTACCATAGCTCTCGGAGACGACGTCTGGGTCAATTTAGGCTCTGTGTCTGCTGCTCTAGCTGTGGACGGGTATGGAGAGCTCCTGGCGAGCGGCGCTACGGGCGAGAAGCTGGTCGGAGAGTTGTCGGCAGAGAAGTCCGTTTCGATCTCAAGATTTGGCTTGTATCGGCCGTTCAGCATGGGGGAGGGCTTCGTCGCTGTTGCGTCTAGGAGAGGGGTGAATGCGTGATATTTTGCAGCGCCTTGGGGCCTCGTAGCGTAGATAGGAGGCTCAGGAGATGATTTTCTGCGCTTAACGGAGCTGCTGGAGACGCATGCGGGCCTGGGCGTTTTCCGACGAGATACTCGCTTACGCTGGAAAAGAGTTGCAGAGACGTCTAGACGAGGTTTATTTCTTGCTGTGTCATGGTTGGTAATGGACGGGAGCGAGGCAGGGAGCGCCATCGACGCCGATGAAGAAGGAGCGAACGTCGATGCCATTTAATGCTCAACGAGCCAAAAAATACGTTTTTGTGATGTTGTAACTGAAATCAGGTTAAATAGCCTCTAACTGAAGCCATGTTGCGGTGTTGTAGCCATCTTATGATGTTGAAGTGTGTCGGTTGAACCGACACACTCGGTTCATGTGCAATTTGTGGGGGTAACGGACTTTCAGGATGGCTACAGCAACGTGGATGAAGTCGCCACCGCTCGACCCTCGCGTTCTTGCGAATGTGGTGACTTCGTATGATGGGGAGACACTGCAGGTTCCAGACTGTGATGTGCCAGTGTACCATGGCAAGGGAAGACTGGAGTTCAAGACGGGGTTCACGTACACTGGGGACTTTGTTCATGGTAGAATGCACGGTACGGGACACATTGAGTGGCTCACTAGCGGTGTAGTGTACGAAGGGGAGTTTGCTCGCAACGAGATCACTGGGATAGGAACGTATTGGTGGCCCAATGGCAGCTCGTACGTCGGAGATGTCAAGTGTGGCAAGCGACACGGTCACGGAGTTTTCGTTACTGGAGACCGTGGACTTGTCTTACAGCGAGGAGAACCCGACGTAGGGCATGATGGGACGAGTGAGGGAGCTGAAGATGTACCGAAGCCGCTTCTGTTTGCCTTCCACTCTCCGGAATATCAGGGTGGAGGTGGCGAAAGTCTTGAGGAGATGAATGGCGGAGAGGGTGTTGTAGTAGCTCAGAGTAATGCTCGTTATGACGGTGAATGGGAGAATGGACTACCTCATGGCTACGGCGAGCTAACGTTCGATGCTGCACGTAACATTCGGTACGAGGGTCAGTTTCTAGAGGGAAAGCGAGAGGGGAGAGGACACATGCACTACGCTGACGGAAGTGTGTATGCGGGAGACTGGAAAGCTGACGTCAAAAGTGGACAAGGAGTTATGACGTGGATGACTACGCGAGGTGCTGACGAAGTTTCAAGCGCTAACGCCACACCGCTTGAGAGATATGATGGTGAATGGGAGAACGACTGCCAGGAGGGCTTTGGTCGACACGTGTGGCTCGTAAATCCACTCAGCGGATCGAGTAACAAGAACTGGTACGAAGGTGAGTTCCACGAGGGACTACGCCATGGACGTGGCGTCTTCTTCTACGCCAATGGCGCCCGGTATGAAGGCGAATGGAAAGCGAACGTCAAAGATGGCTACGGTCTCTTCTTCTACGAAGACGGACGTGTTTTCGTTGGACTATTTCGTCAAGACCGCAGTGTCGAAGGCTCCTACGCGACAGCAGCAACCGCAGGTCTTAGCACTCCAGTCCCTGTCGAATCTTCAACAGCAACATCGCCGTCTCAACCACCGAACAGTGCTGGGATCATGTTGTATATCAACGATCTACTTCCGATCACGGATGTTCCAAGACGCGAAAAGGCTCGTAAGGCTGTTGAACATGCTGCTCTACGCATCAACACCGAGTTGCGTGCGCTGTATCGGGAGTGTATCAAACAATCTCGTCGCTCTTTAGCTCCCGGTTCTAATGACGCGGACGATCCAGGAACGCTTCTTGAACTCTTCGAGTGTCGCCAACTACTTTCCCAATGTGGCTTCTACTTCACCAGCGGACAACTCGAAACGTATCTAAAACATGTCCGTAAGGCACAGCGAGCTGGAGCTCTAGCCATCGCGTCTTCCCTCAACATTACTGAGCACTTCCTGGACGACCTACCTACCGAAAACCGCCTCAAACATCCTATAGACCCCAGTCGCCTTGAGGTCGTTCCTTGGGACGAACAACTTCTCTTTAGGGAATTCGTTGAGCTGCTAGTTCGTATCGGGTACGCGTGGGTTACGACCGCAGAGACGGACGGCATGATCACACTCTCTGGAAGCCTCGACAGTGCTGTGTTTCTCGTCGACGTCTTCTCCGACGTGTACGACCAGATGATGCGTGGACGGCAAAAAACTTTAAGTCAAAGCTCACCAACATGGCTCTCGCTTCTGCGAGTCGAGCTTATGGACAAGAACCTTCACAGTATCTTCACTAAACACCACGACCATCTTCAACAACTATACAATAACTGCATTACCCCTTCCGTACTACGACAAGATGAAGACGTATCGGAGCAGGAATTCTACACCCCGATAGACAAGACCGAACCTGACGTGTCCGTTCGATCGGTGCTCGTCATGCTTCGTAATGAGCCTCCAGTCGACACGCCAATCTTTACACCAGAGTTCCGGATCCACGACGTTCTTTCAGCGCTAAACAGAGCGTTCACCGCGTCGTCCCCGCCACTGAACGCTGAGCTTCTTCGAAGTGTCGCGTCGGGATGTAGCTCAAGCGACAACCAGGATAGTGAACCGGATGCCTTCTTCATGGGCACCACGTTGGTCTTCTCGGAGTTCTTGGACGCGATTGCAACTGTGCTCTTCACCAAGCAACACACGGCGTTGACGAACACCCGACAGACTACTGAGGAGCTTCCTCTCTGTGTGTTGGTGGACCAATTCATGCAGTCAATGAAGATGGAAGCTCATCGCGTGGTATAAACATTCCAAAAAACAAAATCCTACAACTTTTCTAACGTGTTGCGTCTGCTCCTCTATGCCACACGTCCGACAGGACCCATGACCTGGGCGTATCGCGACGGTAAGCTGACAACTTGGTCATCATCGAATGTGGCTTCGAACACTTGACCGTCGTACGCATAGCGAACGTAGCTGTTACAGCATAACAAACATCGTTAAGTTAAAAATGTTCACTAGCCATAACTGATATCATAACAGATACGCACAGCAATGGTTTAACAGCAGAACTGGATGATCGTGCGTCGGCAATCGTTTTGTCTTCGTTAATACAGGGGTTGTAGAATCCCAGGAGTTTAGCCTTCGACGACGAAGTGAGCGCGAGCTCTCCATCCTTGAGAACATAACAGAAATGTGTTAATATCTTCGTAACTTCATGCCACGATAGCAGTACATTTCCGCACCTTGACAAAGAACTGAAGAGGAATTGTAACATCAACCCACTTCTGCTCCAGCAGCTCCGCTTCTGCCTCTTGTTGCGTGATATTCTCCCCACTGCCTTCGTCGTAGCGCATCGCACGGAGAGCAGCATCCAGATCGTCTACACGGGCCCCACGCGAGTCGGGACTCGTCGGGTTCGTACCGTATCGACCTAGCAGAATCACCAGCCCTTTGCCGTCTTCTCGTTGCTGTTCCTTGTCCGCTTTCTCCTCTGCACTTCGACGCATCAGTTTCTGTTGCTCTAGTGCACTTTGACGCGCCGTCGCGAGGTACTGAACACGCATATCGTGTCTGTGTTCCAGTTCTAGACGACGCTGACGCTCCTGAGCAGGTTTGATAAGCTGCGTGACGACCGCAGCCACCATGAAAGGTGACGTGGCTGCGCAGAATGTAAACCACGCCGACTGCGGCGAGAATGGAGACAAGAAAATGGGCATCACAAAGCGAACACTGCCACGAGTGAAGCCGACACGCAGAGTAACGCCGGCACGCGCGAGTAGGACGCCTAACGCCACCCGAGTGCGGTTCGAGATCTCTCGACTAGCTCCAGCCACGACCGATAGGCCTGTCGAAAGACTCGCACGCAGCGACAACTTCGCTGTCGTGGCAGCCACAAGAGCACGACGGAGCTGGAACGTAAAGTTGGGGCCGGCAGCGTTCACAGCGACGGCAGCTGTGGCGTTGTACGTGCCTGTGTCCTGACTTAGCGACCCGGAGAGACCGTCCCGTGTACTCCACATCATTGCGCCGTGAAGCTGCGGTGATAGGAGCTGGTTGGCTCCCACAGAGATGTCCAGTCCATGATCATCGAGCTCGGGGATGAGCATGAAGACTGTGTACCGAGACACTGGCTGGCTGATCTGACAATGGAGTCTAGGCGTCCAGCCTAGCTGACTTGTTAGCGTGAACGACGGGATACTGGGATCAAGTGACGAGTGTGTCAACTCGGCTGTAAAGCTGCCCATACCCATCCCCTTCTTGTCGAACATGTAGCCTCCCAGTGTCAACGCTGTACTACGCGACAAAGGGAAGACTGTACGCTGGTGGATGGTCATGTCTGTGCGATCCACGTATCTCGCACCGCTGTGGAACAAGCTACGCAGTCCTTGCATGGGCGCCTGCACGAAGTCCGAGGCGTCGACGCCCATGGACATCTCGCTGTGGGACGAGAACTGCGCCTCCAGAGCCTGCTGGTTCATGCGACGCATGATCTTCTCCACGTACTGCTGCATCTCGTCCGACGTCTTCAAGTGTGCGCCCACAGCTTGCTGCTGAGCGACGCCATCTTGCTCCAGCGCATGCACTCCCTGCAATGATGTATTGGTATTCGTCAGTACATATCAGTTTAGAAAGTATCCCTTATCAAATTAAAGGGTCTCTTTGGCATTCACGGACTTACCTTCTCGCCATAGATGTCGTACACGCGGCGTTTTACCGGGTCGCACAGCACTTTATACGCTCTGTCTAGCACCGCGTACTGCGAGTTGGCGGCTGCTACGATCGCCGCATTTCCTTGTCGTCGACGATCCGGGTGGAACTCACGCGACAGCGACAAGAAGTGGCTTCGGACTTCGTCGCTTGATGCGTCGCGCGCCACGCCCAGTAGCGCGTAGTAGTCGCGCTCGAACTCGAACGGAGAAGGAGGCACGTCGTCCGCCATGCTCGTCCACAGTCTCTGCTGCGTACTTGATCAACTCTCAGATACCCACTCGCTGAGCGGGAGGTGCACCGAAGGTACGCTCCTTCTTTTAGCCAATCAGAGCCCGCGCATGTCGCGGTAGGCGTTCGGTACCTTGTCGTGCACCCCTACCCGCGCTTCTTTTAAAGTCCCGAGCCAAAAATACAGAAAAAGGGAGCGTTCGCACTTTTTGGTACCTCGTCCACAGGACAGTGCACTACTGGAAAGAGCCTGCTACTGCCACAGACCATGGTGCGTCGAAAGAAAGAGCTCTTTTTAAGATCTAGTAAAATGTAATACCTGATGATTGTGGTGGACAGGGTGCTTCTGGTTCGAATATTATTTGAGATGACGCATGGCGCGTCACCGGGCTCTCCGACCTTCTATCACTACGTAAAGTAGGTGCCATAAGCACAGACTTGTAGGGCAGTAGGTGTAGAGCCAGTAGGAATAGAATGTAAGACACGTGAGTGCCGGGCAAAGTACCACGACAGGACCACGGAGTTCTGGTGCTTGCTGCTTCTCACTCGTTGTGCACGCAGCACAGCAAAAGCAGTTGTGAGAGTGAGAGCTGCCAGCACCTGAACCTCCATGTTCCGCAAAGTTAGATTAGCACATACTCAGTCTAAGATAGTCTATAGAAAGCTAAGTAGTTCACCATCACCTGCAACGCAGTTGCAGTTGCTCACCGCCACCAATGTCGTCCTTCATACAGTCCTTGGTATCTTCCGCACGCCGCTCGCACGTGAGCGCGTTGCAGACCGGTACGCCAAGATGCAGTACATGCATAGACACGCGTGGGGTTGTAGGTTGGATCGGTAGTACTGGTATTGCCAGTGTCTTGGGCTGTGGCAATGACGTCTGGCACTGGACACTGGCAGACCGTAGCAAGTAGCATCTCACAGTAGCAGGATAGCATCTCACACCCCCACTTGATCTCAGCGATGCAGTGCCGAATCGACGCGATCACATCGCTTCATCCGTACACACACCACTGAGAATAGTCGTACGATAGCCACCACCACCGTAATTTGCTAGCTGCATAGTCTCCCACTCGAATCGCACATGTCCGTAGTCCAGCGCAGTTGATTGCATGCTAGTGTTGTGGTACAGCCCCACGAAACTGGTTCTTCCAGTCGGCACACAGGCACACTACATGTCATCGTCGTCAGTAATGTCTAATCCGTCGTTCTTGACCGCATCGCAGGTGACGCAGTCAAGGTATCATGAATCGCAGTTGACGAAGATGTAGCCTTTTCATTTACAGTGGCGGCCATGTCACTGTCTGCCACGATAGGCAGTACCTTCAGCATCTTTCGGAATCGGGAGAACTTGACCACCGCAAGTGGTTTGGTCATGATGTCCGCCACCATGTCCTCCGTCCCGATGTGTTGCGTAATGATCCGTTTTAGTTCCACGTTCCGCCGCACCATGTGGTATTTGTTGTCAATGTGTTTTTGCTTGCTGTGCTTGCCGGGTTTAGTCGTTAGAGAGATGGCTCCCTGATTATCTCCGAGTAGTACAGGTAGTGCATGTTTCCACACTAGTGCTCGGCAGAGCCCTGCAGCCACAGCAAGTCCTTTGTAGCTTCAGCCATTGCAACGTACTCAGCTTCACATGTGCTCTGAGCATTGATTTCTTGTTTCCTCGATGCATAGGAGACAACATTGTTGTCCATTGTCGTCACGTATCCACTGATGCTGCGGCGGTCAACTGGATCATTAGCATAGTCAGCATCCGAATAGCAACCCACACATAGGTCACTCGCTGACGCAACATCCATCACCAGACCAAAGTCACGTGTAGCCTGCAGGTAGCGCAATACCCGCTTGGCTTGCGCATAGTGAGTATGGTCGTAGCTGGCTAGGTATTTCCCGAGATGTCTGGTTGCGTGTGCGATGTCAGGTGTTGAGGCACTTACAAGATACTGAAGCGCACCAACCAGCTCTCGATAGGGCAGGTACTCGGTCGTAGCAGGAACAACCGCCTTTGAGGGTGTCAAAGCTTCAGGCGTAGTACACCCATTGCACGTCTCCATGTGAAATCGTTTGAGTACTTCGAGTACATACTGTTTCTGGCAGTAGATGATCTGTCGACTGGGTCGGTTGATCAAGATCTCCACACCTAGTAAGTACTTCACGGTTCCCATGGTTGTGAGCTCAAACGTTTCTTGCAGCGCGGCTGCATTTCGAGCACACAGCTCACGTGGACCCATTAGTAATAGGTCGTCCACGTATACAGTTAGGAGCATAGTCACTTCTCCATCCTTCTTCAGCGCGTACAAGCCGTAGTCCGACTCCAGTCTTTCAAGCCCAAGTGTCAGCAACTTGGCATGTAGAGCTCGGATCCATACGTTTGGTGCTTGTTTAAGTCCATAGAGGCTCTTCAAGAGCTTACAGACAAACGCTGGCCCATCTGTTTGAAAGCCTGGTGGTTGCTCCATGAAGATTAACTCATCGAGGTCCCCGTAAAGAAACGCGGTCTTTACATCGTACTGAAGAACTTCCCATCCTCGTTGAACGGCGAAGTAGATGGCAACACGGATCGTCTCAAACCGGATTACCGGTGCGTAGGTCTCACTGTAGTTCACGCCCAGTTGTTGTTTGAAGCCATGAATCACGAGACGAGCTTTAAATCTTTTCACACGCCCTCGTTCGTCACGCTTAACAGCGAACACCCATCTGCACGTAATAAATTTGACGCCTTTGGCTGCCGCGCGTGGCACCAATTTCCATGTCTTGTGTCGTTTCAGTGACTGTAGTTCAGCAAGCATAGCAGCCTTCCACCGAAGCCAATGCTTGCTCCGACGTGCCTGCTTGTAGGTCGTCGGTATCTCAATGTCCATATTGATAGACATCACGTTGCCCACCACATAGTCAAGAAGCCGCACGCTTGGCTTCTGCGTCCTTCGAGGTCGCTTGAGACAGGGTTGAACAGCTGGATCGCGAATCTCAGAAGTTTTCGTCTCCTTCTTTTCTGGTTCAAGTTTCTTTCGCGTCTTTCGTTTTCGTCGCTTGCCAGACTTGGGTGCAGCAGGTGGCTCCTTCGTCTCATCGTTCGCAGCAGCTTCAACTGGTGCATCTACACCGGCTGGCGACTCTACTCTCTGTTCCTCAGGTAAGTCGTCTTTCGCACTCCCACTGGACTCATGCTCTTTGTCCTGCAGGTCATCAGCTATCGGCACCATCTCGAGCTCCTTCGTCACATTCGAAGACTCAGAGCTCCAACCAGGCAGGTACGTCTCCATACTAGTCTTGATGCGTGCCACCGGAACACTATCGGGCAGCTGATGATCACCATCGTGATATGCGTTCTCTAGGAGTTGCTTTACGTAAGTGCCGTCACTTGTAAACTCCTCGTGAAATCGCGTGTTTCGTCCACGTGCAGTCACGACTTGAGCTGTCTTCAAATCCAGAAATTTGTAGCCCTTGGTATCATGACTATAACCAAGTAATAGAGATATTCGTGCTCTCGGCTCCAATTTTTCCTTCTTTTGTCTGGACTCAGGAGGGACACGCACGTGTGCCACACATCCCCAAGTCCGAAGCTCATCCACATCGGGTGTCACACTGTACAGCTTCTTGTATGGCGAGACCAGTCCTAGCGGTTTAGTTGGTAGCCAATTCAGTGTCGTAACAATGTGTAGAAGTGCTTCTCCCCATAGCATGTTAGGAAGATGTGTAGCGGGTAGCATAGCACGGATGCGAGGCAGTACAGTGCCATTCGCTCGCTCCACCACACCATTCTCCTGAGGAGAGTAAGCATTCGTGAACTGCTGCACAATCCCATGCTCATTGCAGTAATCTCTCAGCGCATTACTGGTGAATTCACCACCCTGATCAGAGTGCAGTCTCCGAACAGTGAGCTTGGGAAACTGAGTCCGAAGTTGATGTAGCAAGATCTTGACGTACAGTGTAGCCGCACTCTTTCGTTCGAGTAGATACGCTTACTTGAAGCGAGTAGCTTCATCAATGATTAGCAGGAACATAGTTGCACCACCTTCCGTCGGTTCATTCATCGTGCATATGTCCATCATCAACATCTCGAGCGGTTCAGACTTCCGTTCAGGAATCCTTGCATAAGTCATCCGTTTAGTCTTGCTAGCATCACACGCAACACACTCGTAGGAGCTCAGACCTTGTGCATTAATCTTTACTCCGACATCGAGCTTACTCGACAGTTCTCTCACAGTGTCCATACTCATGTGAGCGAACCGTTGGTGCAGTAACTCCATCGTCTTTCTGCTGTCCATGTCTTGTTTGCGTGCTGCCATCACCATCACTCCTGACACTCGCTCTGCCTTTAATCGGTAGATATTTGTCTTCTCATGATAAACTTCAACGAGTACTGGTTTTGAGAGCCAAGCTGACTGCTGCGCTTGTGAGCACAGCAGCTTGTACTTCCCAGCCGTCTGCAAGTGACCGAGGCTGATAATGTTCACCTTTGCATTAGGAGTGTAGACCACGTCCTCAAGGAGGCGATCTTCTTGTTCACCAGTTGTTTGGTTTACAATGCGTAGCAAGACAGAACCACACATAGTTGCATGTTCCGATGTTCCGTTGGCAAAGTCAAGCCGACTGGTGCGATCTTCTCGAATGGTAGTAAATAGAGACAAGTCTCCACAGACATTCGCCTGAGAGCCAGAGTCCAAAATCCACTCCACCCAATCTGAGTCATCAGACTGCTTTCCTTGGTTTCGACCAATCGCATTCACCTGTCGAATTCCACCGATACCAACATTCCCACGATTTTCGCAGTGTCTAGGCGAGTTTCCACGACGACTTGGCGACAAGTTCCGACGTTGAAGATCATTTCGACGAATGCAATCATTCAGTAGTGGTCCACGCGCGGGTGATGGTCCACTACGCCACGGCTCTTGCGGCTGGGGTCCATAATGACTTGGCGGCTGGTTATTCGCTCGTGGCTCACGACGAGCAGACCAATTACGACCACGAGGTGGCGAATGCCAACGCAATGGCGAACGCCCACGCTGCAGTGATCTTCCTCTCGGTGAA